TCTTTCCTCTTTCCTCTATTTCTCTTCTCTTTCTCTCTTTCCTCTCTTTCTCCTCTTTTCTTCTCTTTCTCTTTCCTCTCTTACTTTCCTCTTTCTCTCTTTCCTTTCTTTCTCTCTTTCTTTCCTCTTTCTCTTTCCCTCTTTCCTCTCTTTCTCTTTCCTCTTTCCTCTATTTCTCTTCTCTTTCTCTCTTTCCTCTTTTTCTCTCTTTTCTCTTTTTCTTTTTTCCTCTTTCTCTTCTCTTCCTCTCTTTCCTCTAACTTTCTCTCTCTCTTTCCCCTCTTTCTCTTTCTCTTTCCTCTTTCTCTTTCCACTTTTTCTCTTTCCCTCTCTCCTCTCTTTCTCTTCTCTTTCTTTCCTCTTTCTCTCTCTCCCTCTCCCTCCAGGTTAGGAGAGAGAGAGAGAGAGAATGAAAGGCAGATGGCGCCGAACGGGCGGGGAGAGCAGGACGGAAGGTAGAAGCTCCCGTCCGCCCCCCCATCGCTTCTTCAGCCGAACAAGCAGGAAGGGGCAGGGAGGGGGAGCAGAACGGGAGGCAGCGGCTCCAGTGGCGGTGGCCCCATTGCGTCCTCAGCCAAACGGGCAGGGAGGGGGAGCAGGACAGGAGGCAGCAGCTCTGGCGGCAGCCACTGCAGCATCGTCGGGGTCCCCGTCGCCGCCCCTGGCCCGGCCGCTGCCCCCGCCACATGCTCAGCCACTTCGCCGTCTTAAGAGGAGGGCGCCAAGGCCGGGTGCACCATGGGCGGCCGCGCCGGCAACGGGGAGTGCCGACGAGGAGGGGTCCCGATCGCCGCCAGCCCCGCCGCCCTCGCATCCCAAGGTCTCCTTCTCCTGCAGCAACTAGGGCAGCAGTGGCGGCTCCCTGAAAGTGCCCGAGGAAGGTGCCACCGATGGGGCCGGGTGGCGGAGAGCCCTGCGGCAGCCAGGCGAGCTTCATGCCTGACTGCCGTCCGGCCCGGGCTGGGGAGACATGTGGCCGGTTCGGCATCCCGGGGAGCAATGCTCCCGCTGGCCGCCGCACCAGCCATGACTGCCGCCCAGCACGGGGAGACATGTGGCTGGTTCGGCTGCCCAGGGAGCAGCCCAGGAAGCGATGCCCCAGCTGAGACTGGAACAAGTAAGCCGGGGGGGCGAACCACCTGCCCTGCAGCCACTTCGCGGCGGTGCTCTGCGGACTCAGAGCTCCCTCCCTCCCCCCCCTGCCACTGACCTTCCATCTCCGGCTCTGCTGCTGCTTGGCCAACGGTTGCGCCGGCTGGACATCGCAGGGGCTGCTCTCTCTCAGGGCTGCGGCTTACAGGAGGGCTGGCCCACTCAGCAAAGGCTCCGGGGGGTTGCTCCCAGCGGGGATCCCGGGGCTTCCCCACATGGCTCCCCAGCCACGTGCGCCTGGGACGGGGCCAGCCCGGGAAAGGGACTTCCTGGCTGCCCTTCTCCCAGGGGGCGGGGCACCCGGGCGCAGGTTAGGTTAGGTTAGGTTAATTTAATTTGTATACCGCCCTTCTCCCGTAGGACTCAGGGCGGTTCACAGCATATTAAAAACACAAATACAATATACAAGATACAAAAAATCATACAAAAATACACAAAATAACCCCACTAAAACCTAATTAAAAGCCAAATATTGATTGCTGTATTCCCATTAAAATTACTTTTTA